TCCTGTGGTATTGAATTCCCGCTCACCTGGCTCCCTTAGAACCATTTCTTACATATTCATCTCCAGGAGAGATACAATTCCTGGTCCTTCAAATGGGGTTTGTTCAACACAGTGGCACTTTGATACCTAGAGAATGATTTTGGAAATACTTCATTCTGTCTTGCTACCATTTTAATCGGGAGCATTTAGACCTCTGTTAATTGATGTCTTAATACTGGGTTGGATGCCGAGGAGCAGTTTTGTGACCTGTGAATATTTAAGGGGAAAAAAAGAGAAACGATTGCACCTACAAATCCCAGGCCTGGCACAGGAGCACCTGGGCTGGGTAGGGTAGGAGCCTTCATTTCTCAACCTCCCATACCATCCTCTTACGTGCTGGCCCTTCACAGGTGTGTCCTCTGTGTGAGGCCACGCAGCACTCGCCGGTTCTGGCATGTGGCAGGGACTACTTCTCTCCAGCTGCAAGCTCCAACTCCTTTGGCCTGAACTTCTTATGCAGCTTCTGTGTGGTCCTGTCCTGAACTGTGTCCACTGTGGCTTCTGGATAAGGTGGTCTTTGTCCATCATGGGGTGGGGAGATCAACCTGTCCATCCCATTTCTAATAGCCACCCACACACCCTCAGGCCAGATGAAGCTGGGGCTGCGTGTGACCTTCAACGTGGCTCATTTAGGAGGTTTGCAGAGGCTGAAGATCCATTTTTCTTGTCCCTTTTTGTACTCAGGAGTCGCAGAAAAAAACCTCATTAGGTTCGGGGGGTGGGCAATCCCTCCTCAAGATGGGGAGAAAATGTGCATAATTCTGGATGGTTTTTATTTCCCACAGTAAATCTGAAAAACAGTTCCTGGTGCTTATGTCTTGGAGATAACTGGGCCAGGCTGGGGCACATCCTTCTCTTCCTGGCGCCTGGGCGAGGCTTCAGGCCCAGAGAACCCAATGGATAATTGGTTAAGCCCGCACGCAGCAGATGTCTGTTTAAGCTTGGATTAAATTGGGCCAGACAAAGGCCAGCCAGGCTGGTTTCATCAGAGAAATGTCTTTGTGGGAGATTTGCCCTGGTTCAGTTTTTTGTTTGTTTGTTTGTTTTAAATGTGACGAAAAAGAAAATAAGTCCTGGGTAAACCAGCTAGAGACTGAGTTTGTTATTTTCCCCCAGGTAAGGTGAGAAAAGAAAGCAGGACTCAGGACCTCAGTGGCTCAAAGTGCTTATCCTCTCTGAGCGGAGGACAGTGCAGTTTGGGATCCAAGTCTTCCTTCTCCTCGGGCTGATGACGTGCCCTTCCTGCCCATCTCAGGAGGAGGATGCTCGAGCAGCATGGAGGAGGCAGAGCGAGAGCCTGTGAGCGTGGGCTCCTGGGCCCAGCTGCCAGCTGCCTCTTCCTGTGTGGCTGGGGTGAGGCCTTGGCAGCAGGAGTTGGGCTGCTGGGGCCTGGGCAGACTGTGGCCCTGCCTGGTCCTGAATTGCCCGGCATGGCAGACCAAGTGACATCCTACACCTACCTGGTGGTTTCCCCTGGAGTAGGGTGTGGGGCAGAGGAGCCTAGTTTGCTTCCTGAAATGAGGCCATCAGCTCTCCTGGTTGGAAATACATTTTCCAGCTTTGGCACAATGCCCAGTTAGTACTGGTAGTCTGTAGCCACCGTGTGCCTGATCCGGGCATTGTCTGATGTGGTGCCCTTGGGGCTAAGAGCTAAGCCCTTTGGAATGACACTGGAATTTAAAGAAAGTGCAGGTGTGTTGAGAAAGGCATGTTTTGGATGGGAGAGGGAGGCTGATCGTCAGGCGAGAGGGAAAGAACAAATCTGGGGGGAGGAGGAGGCAGGGAGAGAAAGGGGGGCAGGGCTGGAGAGCCTGTGAAGTTACCATGTGGAGTTTCAACTTCATCCTGGGGACACCTAGAGGCCACTGAAAGGTTGTAAGCCAGCTGAAGCCTGGTGAGACTCGCGTTTTCTGTGGCTCCCCAGCTGCTATCAGGGAGCAGTTAGGGCTGGAGGCCAGGAGACCAGGAGACCGCCAGACTAGGGATAGTGACATGGAAGATGTGGAGGTTGTTGGTTGAATATGGGGAGCCATGGACAGACAAGAGGGGGATGTTGTGGACGAGGTCCAGGCCCAGGCCAGAGGAACCCCTGCTGAGGTAGGCTGGCTTGGCAGGAGTTTGCTTTCCCTGAACTCCAGGCTCATGGGAAGCCTGCAGGCAGCAAAGGCCCGGCTGAGAGGCCAGAGACAGAGGTGGGTGTTGGGGAGCAGAAGTGAAGGTGAGGCGAAGAGGGAGGGGAGGGGAGGGCCAGCTGTGCCTGACAAGCCTTGCAGTCTACCAGGAGGTGAGAGGAGAGCTGGCAGAGCAGTAGGGGTTGGGGGGAAGAATGGTAAGTGGGGAGTTGAGATGCAGAGAGGTTCCAGTAAGATATGAAAGCTGTTTCCATCCTAGTAAATGAGGAGGACCATCACGACTTCCTGCAGGAAGTGCAGCCAGGCGGTAAGGGGAGCTTGGCTGGTGGAAAAGGTGGAGGGTTTTCCACTTTTTCCCCTTTTTTGAGAGCAAGGGGTGGGGAGAATTCAGGTTTAGGTACGGTCTCTCTGTGTCCTGATCCTCCTGCTCCAGCCTCCTCGTCTGCCAGGACCCCTGGAGCCTGAGCAGTTCGTTCGAGTCTGCCGGTGGGGAACCTGAACAGGTGGTCTGGTCCCCAGGGGGGCAGGAAGGCCAGAGGAACCAGAGGCACCTTCGTGATGATAAATGGCACACTGTCAGGCTTCAGGGCCTGCCTCCTCAGGAAAGAAAAGATGTTCATTTGGGAGCAGCCTCTCGGAGCTCACGTGGGGTGGTTGTTTCCACGTTCCCAGAAGGTTTTATAGTCTTGGGAAGGCGTCATTGTGCTGCAGGTGCTTCCTCATTTCCCAGTGACAAATGGCTGGCTGTCCCAGTTGTGTGGGTGTCATGGAGACAGTGTGAGTCCTGGCTGACTCAGGTTGTGCCTGTGAAGTCCCCGAGGGCTCGTGGAGATGGGGGAGCAGCCCAGGCCATGCCTCACCTTCCCTGCCCACCCGCCCTGCCCTGTGTGCTGTGGGATGTGTCTGCCTCGGCTGGAGCCAGCTCAGGGGGGCTCTGTGGCCAACTGAGGAGGAAGGGCGGTAGATGGATGAAGGTGCTCTCTAGACAGAGGGTCGGGTGCCGACCTGCCATTGCCACACACCCAGCTGTGCTGATCTCGAGCACCACAGTGTGCTCTTTTGGGAGAGGGGAAAGGTGGTCCTGTGGGAACTTGGCAAAGGTGGGCCTCTTTGGGAGCAGAGCTGGCCATTAAGGGGATGCACTAACTCTAGTGTTTGTAGAAGCAGGGACCAATGCAGAGGGAGTCTGCCCATTCTCCTGGCTCCATCTTTACAGGCCTCCTTCATTGAAGGCCATCCCCAAGAAGCCCCTCCCATCACTCCTTCCCACAGCAACCCAACCCTCCCCCACAGCAGCTCTTCTCCCACCTCATGATGGTGTTTTTATTTGCTCGATGTTCACCCCTCCTTAGTCTCTGAGCTCCGTGAAGGAAAGATGTGTCCATATTACTCCTCTCTGTCGCCACTGCCTGCTATATCAAATGGCCTCTTACGTAATAGTAATGTGCAGTGAACGAATGGACGTTCGTTTGCCATTATGGACAGCACGTCATTATGGTTTTAAAAGTGTTGTCAAAGCAGTATGTGCACGTGGTTTTAAAAATCCACTGGTACAGAATCAGCACAGGAAAGACAGATGATAATGAAACCACCAATGCCTGGCTATCTTTTTCTACCCCCATCCTCTCCCAGAGACATACTTCTGACCATCTCTGACACCCCTGCCCCACCGTAATCCTGTGATGATTTCTCGTGCTTTCACTGGTTCCATATGCTGTCTTGTCACATGCTTCCTCCTTTATGTCTTGCTTTATGAACTCTCCCCCTGGGTAAACTGAGACTGGGGATGGGTCCCTGCCCCATTGCTGTCTTATCCCAAACCCCTTTGCCTGTCCCTTATCAGGATTCACAACATTCCCATCACGTTTATGTGATCAGGAGCTCTTATGTGTTTTTTGAAAGACGTTAACTCTAAAGGTAAAACCTGTAAATCTGCGTTTCCATAATGGTCTGTGCAGAACCAAGGACTGTACCAGAGTGCACGTTCTTCTCTGTGGGGCCAGTGGCACATCTCAGGGCCTCCCTCAGGAGAAAGTTCCTAGCAGCAAGAGTGTGTGGATGTTTTTTCTGTAACCATCAGTTGTAGAAAAATCACTCCACCGTTTAGTCCCTATTTGGAGTGTGGGTTATTTATTTATTATTTTTTTCCTGTCTTGAAGTAAAGAAAACCTTTTTATTAGAACACAACAGCACAGGTGCATTGTGCGAAAGTAGAACGTACACATGGGCAGGGCTTTCTCGAGTTGCCCCCGAAATGTCCTTGGCATACCCAGGTCAGTTCACATAGCCTACTGGCTCTTCTGATGTTTCCCCCATGATGCTGACTTACTGCAAAGACCGGGCCCACCGTGCTGCAGGGGGTGGAGGGTCTCTGTGGAGGGGTCTCGTGAACCCCTGCTGGGTGGCACTGACTTTCTGACATGTTTTTCTTCCCTCTGAAGCCGAGTGTTTAAGACGGACATGGAGCTGGAGGTTTTGCGCTACACAAATAGAATCTCCAGTGAGGCCCACCGGGAGGTGAGTCGGCCACCAGCGCTGGTTGGGTTGGGAGGCAGCGTTGCTATGCGTGGGGCAGGAGATCCACGTGGAGAAGTGGGATTGTAGGGAGGCTCTACTGCCTCAGGACCATGCACAGAGCACGGGCAGGAGAGGCCCTGCCCAAGTTCCTCACCTTAAAACACCCTCCTTCAAGGAAGTCATGGGCATTAGTCCTCAGGGACTTTAACAAAAAGTCCTGACTTCCAGGAGGGTAAGTTCTTCTTCCTGGTATTCAGCAGTTCCCAGTTCATTTTATAGAATCTTTTATCCCTGACTGTGATTCAAGTATACTTATTATCATCGTCCTTTTTTTTTTTTTCTTTTTTTGGAGAGGTTTTTGCTATAGGGCTCGTACGCTCACCAGAAAGATAGAAAGAGACAGAGAGACAGAAAGTGAGAAATCACCCTCTAGGCATATGGCCACGCCGCAATCCCTTCTCCTCCATTCTCCTCTCGGGATCTAGCACACCCACGCACACGCGCCTGGCATGAGTTTAAGCTGCCAGGTCCAGGACTCAAACCGCTGTCAACTACATGGGAGTCCAGCGACATAGCCATTACACTAACTGCTGGTCCCTCATTGTCCGTTTTTTTAAAAACATTTTCACGTGGTTCTTTTCTAAATCTTCCCATTTTACTAGAGGAATGAGATCAAACAAGGAATTGTACACCTTAAAAGACATTCAGGGTGACTGGGTTAGCCCAGCGACTGCTTCGGGACGGTTGTCACCGTGTGTCAGGAAACAGACAGGCAGTCTGTCTGATGGGCTGTGCCATCTCTCGTATAAATTCATTTTCTCTGTGTCTTATAAAAAGCAAAACAAAGGGAACCTTTCAATAATAGCCATCGTACCACCTGTGACATTACATATTCACTGGTTACTTGTTCATTTTTTCCCCATCCCGGCTGGTCTGCCCACCCTGAGCTGTGGCTTGGTGTTCCATATTTATCAGCTACTAAATGGAAGTGCTCCATAGTGGTTTGAATAAACTATATGGATATTGGGACTTTAAAAAGTTCTAATTTGTCACATTTCTGCACTGCCGTGTGCTCATATCATTCATTTTTTTTTTTTAAATTAGAGGTTCTTTTGAGAAAGTGCTATCCATTATTTATAAGGCTGTGTTACCTACTTAATACAAATGTCTTTGCTTAATATCTGTCCTGCAGGTAATGAAGGCGGTAAAAGTGGGAATGAAAGAATATGAGATGGAAAGGTAAGCCGCCGTGTTTCTCTGGGTAAAGATTAAAGTGTAACAAACAGTAATTTGTGTTTCCTGAGCAAGGAACAGATGAGGCTCCACAGCACCGGGCCCAGATTGAGTGGGGATTATGAGCAGGCTTCGGGATGGTGGGCAAAGATGATTTTTCTTCTGGCTGTGGCCACCTCCCTGGCTCTTGGCAGCATGTTTGATAGTAATGGTCTTTGATTACTTTTCAGGGTGGTTTAGTACCCCATCATTCCACTCTTGGACTTTGTTTCTGCAATTCACAGGAAACTTTACCAAATAGCAGCTATTGTGTCTCTGAAAGCTGCTAGTAAAACAGCTTGCCGTTTTTACGTGTAAACACTGCCATTATGTCTGCTGTACTTGGACGACTGGGTCGAGGGGTGGTTAAGCGGTTCATAAAGCACTCTGGAGAGCTCCATCGGCCTGTGGCTCCAATTAGGCCTGCAGGGAGCTGGTGCCACTGGGGTGCTTCCCGGCGCCGTCCAGCCCAGGTGGGTGTGACCTGGCTAGCTCATCTCCACCTCAGGACCCAGGGGCCAATGTGCTGCTGCCCATGGCACCAGAAAGCCCTTCGGTCAGACCCACACTGCCCCAGTGGCTCCCCTCCCCACAGGGTTTTGGGGCATGATGTGTGGGGTCTTCCACTCTTGGAACTCAGCAGGAGACTCTGAAGAGGCTGCCTTTGCCCTACCCCATCCCTGATGTCTCCTTCCTACCCGGCCTTGGAGATCTTGATTGTTACTGCCACCTCCCTGTCTTGCAGGGCCAAAGTCCACCCCAGGTGCCCTTGGGTTGCCCTCCAGGCCTACCCTGTGTAGAACACTGGCTCTGAGGGAATACTGGTTCCATGTCACCCCCAGCCCTGCTGACCTACCCAATTTGTCACTGTGGGGTACAGAGTCCAGGTGCAGATGGGGTCAATAATGGGCAGCATGGACATTTCTGTTTACTGTGACTTGGTGATCTTTTTCAAAAATGTATCTTTTTCAAAGTCCAACCTTGTAAAGAATTCCCAGCAATGAGCCTCGATATTTATCTCTCTCACTTTCCTGGGCAGTAGGAGGTTAAAATGACCTACTCCCAGCTGCTGTGGCATCCTAGGAGGGGGTGTATAATAAGTGTTCATCAAAGACCAAGCCCGTCACCCTAAGGAGGGTAGAGAGTACCAGGCTGTCCTAGCCTTTGCCTCCATGAGGTCCCCAGCTGCAGTGTGGCACCTGTGGTCTGGCATTCCCAGGACCCCTGCCTATTCCAAGGATCTGGGACAGGAAGAGTGCTGTGGGCTACAACAGGGAGATGGACTGGGCAGCAAGTCCCTCAGACTGACACTGCCCCAGAAACCTGTCCCCAATTGAGTCGACTCATAGTGACCCCATAGCTCATGCCGCAAATAAAAATAACCAAGAAATTGGAGCAGAATTCACTTATCCCAGCGTGGAGCTCTGCTGCCCACTGCACACTGGTGGCCTTGTGCCCTAATCCACAGGGAGTCTGGCTTTGAAGGCAGCTCCTGGGAGGAGCCTTTGGCTGGTCCTGCTCAGCCTATGGACAAGACTGTGCAGGCTCTGGATCAGAGGCCAGGGCCCTGGAATACTTCCCCAGCTCCTTGTTCCCTACCCTCCAAATAGTGGAGGTTTTATTTATTTTTTTTAATGGGAATTTTCAAATATCAAAAAAAAAAAAAACAAAAAAAAAGAGTAGTATAATGAACCCCAAAGTTCTTGTCAGGTTTTTTGCTTAGTTTTGTTTGTCGGAGTATGTATTTATTTAACCAAAGGGCACGTGCTCATCATAGACAGAGAGATGGTGCAGGAGAGTACCCCCCCAGTGAGGCATGGTCACACTGCAGTGCCTTCTCCATTTCTTCATCCTGTTGAAATTTGGACACACATGAGCCTGCCATGTTTTTCAAACCTCTGGGGCCAGTATTTAAACTGTGGTTGGCTGCTGTGTCCAGCACAGCTGAATGAACGTGTGCTTTGTGGGGTGGGGGAATACTGGAAAATAAACATATAAATAGACATGCAAAGACATATAGGTAAAGAAAAATGGGGATCAGGTGGTTCTGACTCATCTGATGGAGGCAGCTGCAGCCCTGAACTGTTCCCAGTTTATTCTTTTAAAGGGCGGAAAAGGGGGGGGTTGCAAAGCCTGTTGTTTTCAGATGTTAATCAGCTAAAGATGCGAAGACATCTGGTGCCATGTAGTTCTATGTAAGTTTTCTCTTATCTTCTTAGGCCAATTCTGATTAACATATATGGTTTCCTTTAACGATACTGCCTTGCAGTGTCAGAAACACAGAGGTAGGTAGTGTATTCACATATTAATAGCATTCTTTACCCTGCAAATGACTGCCCATGAAACCGTGTTTCTGCATGTTTGCTCTGATTGGCTGCTCCCTACAGTTAACCATGTGGTATCTGGCTCCTCTAACCACTAGAGTAATTACCAGAAAGTAAATTTAGAGTTGTTTGTTCAAGTTGGGGTCCAGACAAGATCTACACATCACCCCTGGGTGTTGTTAGAAGGGGAGTGCTTGTTGAACTGAGCTCTGGGGAGATCTTACCTGTCTACAAACTGTTCTGCCTCCCTTTCACCCCCCACCCAGGTCCTACTGGTGCCTCTTCTGTGGCCTGGAAGGCTCTCAGAAGGATTAGCCCAAAGCTGGAGGCCATGGCCAGCTGTGCCATGAGGCTGGATAACAGCCAGCAGCTACCATCTGGAGGGTTCCGTGTGCCCACCTTGTTCACTGTCACACTCCTGCTATGTGCTGCATCCCCCTATGACTGTCCAGGGGAGAGAAAGAGGGGAAACAGCACTGCTTTGGCCTCAACCCAATGGGGAGCGCTCCAACCTGTAATCCCTGAGATCTTAGAGCAGGCAGGGAGGGGGTTGGGGGTGAAGGTGGGACCTGCTCTAGAGAAGAATAGAGGAAGAGATAAGAAGAATGGGAGGTGGAGTCTGTTCCTGAAGAGAGGGACATCAGATGTCACCCTCCCAAAGATGGTGAGGAGATGGTGTCAAAGCTTGGAGTGTCTTTGGCCAGATTTGAGGAGGGTTCCCCCTTCCTCTGACTGCTTAACCCCTAGCTGAAGTCCCGGGGTGTAATCTGTAGCCATGAGGTGAGCAGATTCTTTTTCTTTTTAAAAATTTCTTTCACGAGCAACAGAAACGGAGAGAGACAGCATCCCCAACAGGGTCCTGACATCATGATCCACCTCGAGCTTCAGCCAGCCCCCAATCATGGGCACACATGTGCCTGATGTGTTCAGGGAGGTCTCCAGGCTCTAGCTAGGAAGCTTCCCGTGTGGGTCAGCCTTGCAGAGCATCATGCTTTCGTGCACTACTGTCCAGCCCTGGCTGACTTACCTTTCTGCCTCAAGCTCCTTCCCCATCAGCTTGTTTCTCTGTCACTGGCTGGGTCTCTCTGTGACACACTTTCATATAGCCTGGAAGTTTCTTCTTGGAACCGAGTCTCATTTATTTGCACAGTGTCCAACCCATAGTTGGTGTCAGGAAGCGTGTGTGGGTTGGTAGGATAAATGGATAGAAGAGACAAGCAAAGGTCTTGAGCTATTTTTCTGCCACCAGGCACTTTAGAATTCTTTTCTTAACTAGTTGAAGGGTAAAAACTTCTAAAGCGGGTGTAGGTTGCCCAGGGGGCGTGGCCCTTTTGACACAGACTGGACTGCTGTGCAGCTGGCTGACTCACCGGGTTAAAGGGAGCGAGCTGCTCTTTTATGTGTGTGAATAGCATGGTGGGTAGCCCTAAAACCTACCAGACCTTCTACTGGGAGCAGGGCTGGCTATGGTCCTAGTCCCCATGGCATACCAGGCACAAGGGCAGGATTCCTGCGCGACAGGGCTGGAGGCTGAGAGGAGCCGGGAACAGGGCTGGATTTCTCGAAAGGGAGAGCACACAAAGAATAACTGCCCAGTCTCAAGAGATGCTGGCCAGTTCTAAGCCTCATCTTTTTTGTTTGTTTGTTTCATTATCAAAGAATTCGACATGAAGTCTTGAGAGCATGTTAAAAAAAAAAAAGAGTAAGTGAGCTGATGGCACATACAAAGACACCCCATCCTTCGCGCATTGCCTGGGAGCGAGGTTTCAGAGGAAATGAAAATCATTTTCTGCAATCGAGGTGCAGTAAATTGTGTTAAACCAATAAGACGTTAATGTTTGGGTAAATCGGGCTCTAACAGCATCTGACTGCGGGCCCAATCAGGCAGTCCATTTTAGCGCCTCATATTATTTAATGTTAGTGGCGTAACCAGCTTGTAGCCGGCTGGCATGGGGCTGGCAGCTGAATCAATTACCTGCAAACACTAATTTAGAGCATGCTCAATTGGCTGTGTGGGCTGGTCCCCGGTTCACATTTGCCACAAAGAGATTAATAACTTGATGTTTTTGACAGCCTGGGACCTTAATTGAAATTGTGTTCTCTTTCTCTCTAAGCTGTGAATGGGGCACTTTGGACCCGATCGTGACAGTTTCCATGGGGATTGGGAGAGTCATTAAAAAGGCAGAGGTTCTGTGAACTGTGATAGGGACCGTGTGGTGGGGTCCTCCTTTCCTGGCTGGGTTTCTCCTTGGCAAACTCAGGTGACCATGTCCAGAGGCCCTCAGCAAGGCCCGGGTTTTCCTGGGCTAGTCTGTCACAGGCAGCAGCCCACAGCAGGAGCCCTGTGGTAATGAAGAACTTGCTCAGCTGCGCTGCTTTTCCTGTCCTTCGGCCAGAGGAAGTAAACTGCATTAGGTGTGCCCCTGGAGTCCGGACTGTAGTGGCGACGGGGACACAGCCTGAGTCTGCTTCCAACAGCACACACTACGCACACACCTATAGACCAACACTATTCACACCACGCATTACGCACACCACACAAAACCTTCATACTTTTACTACACATAGCACATGTCACATGCAACTCGTCAACCATACCACATACACACCACACAGACCATGCCACATATACATCACTTGTAC